TTTATTGCATTTCTTTAACAAACTGAGTTGCTTTCTAATGTTTTAAAAGCTTTCTATATATTGCATGTGTATTATTGCTTTATATTGAGTTAAGTTGTTCATGAGTTGAGTAAAGCCAAGGTAAGTGTCTCTTTCAGATTCCTTTCAAGTTTATGTTATGTTTAGTTTTCCTCTCGCATACTCGTACATTCAATGTACTGATGACAGTTGGACTGTATCTTCTTATGATACAGACACAAGTAATCAAGATCATCATCTATGGCTCCGTTGATCCAGTTGAGCACTCAGAGTCAGTTGGTAAGCCTTCTTGCTATCCAGAGGACTCATTTTATCATTTGCTTTTTGTATTTCAGTTGTTAGGATGATCGGGGGTCTTGTCCCGACATTTCTCCTTGTTTTAGAGGCTTCATTGACATTTAGTAGTTCAATTGTCTTTACATTATTATTTCATATGTTAAGACTTGAGTTGCCATTTTGGCCAAGTTGAATATTTGACCTTTAAACGTTCTAAGTTATTTTATTAAACAGTTTGAGTAGAAATGCATTTGATCATTATAATAATGCTTAGAGTCTTCCGCTAAGTAAGTCAGGCCAAGGGTTCGCTAAGGGCCAGCAATGGTTGTCGAGTGCCAATCCCGCCAAGGGTGTAGGCTCGAGGCATGACAAACTTGGTATCAGAGCACAGAGTTCAAGAGTCCTAGGGAGTCTATGAAGCCGTGTATGTAGAGTCCTAGTTATCGGTGTGAAGCGCGCTACATTTATAATTAGGAGGGTGCGACATTTAGGAAATTATCTCACTTCTTTCACACTCATTTCGTGCATTAGAGTTTGATCTCTAAAAAGTCTCTTTCTAATTCATGCTTGCACATGTTTTTCAGTTAATCATGCCTCCACGAAGAGCTATCAGAGGTCCTCCTGCTAGGCGTAATGTTGAGGAGCAAGGAGTACACAATACACCTGAAGTGCAACCCTAAAGAGAAGTTACCAATGTTGAGTTCAGGGAAATGATAAGAATGTTGAGTTAAGCTGTGACCAACCAAGGTGGGCAGAGAGAGAACCGACATGAACGGAATGGTACTTCGAGGATTCGTGAGTTCTTGAGGATGAATCCTCCAAGTTTCACTGGTTCAAGCATTACTAAGGATTCAGAGAGCTTTATTAAGGAGCTGCAAAGGGTATTTGAGGTGATGCACGTTGTCGATGCTGAGCGAGTGGAACTAGCTGCATATCAACTAAACAATATTTCTAGGACTTGGTTTGACCAGTGGAAGAAGGGTAGAGCTGAGGGAGCACCATCTGTGAGTTGGGCTTATTTTGAGGAGGCCTTCTTGGGGCGTTTCTTTCCCCGAGAATTGAAAGAAGCCAAGGTACGAGAGTTTCTCACCCTTAAGCAAGATTCACTAAGTGTTCATTAGTATGGGTTGAAGTTTACCCAACTATCCCGTTATGCTCCGGAGATGGTTGCGGATTTAAGGAGTAGAATGAGTTTGTTTGTTACTAGGTTGTCTCGTTTGTCGAGTAAGGAAGGTAAGGCTGCAATGCTAATATGTGGCATGGATATAACAAGGTTGATGGTCTATGTACAGCAGGTTGAGGAAGAAAAGTTAAGGGATATGGAGGAATTTAGAAATAAGAAGGCTAAGACGTCAGGGAATGAGTCCGGGTAGCAAAAAAGTAATGTGAACCGATCTTCTTTCCAACAAAAGCAAAAAGGAACTGCTCCATCATCTGTTAGTGCACCTGCAGCCAGAAACAAAGGTGAGTACAATAGTTAGAATTCACAGCACTTCAGGACAAGATCCGTCCAATCTCAGGGTAGTGTGGCACAAGGAGGTAACTAGGCTCCTGCATATGCTAAGTGTGGTAGAATCTACCCAGGTAAATGTCGCGATGGCTCCAAAAGTTGTTTCAAGTGTGGACAAGAGGGTCACTTCATGAAAGAGTGCCCTAAGAGCAAGGAAATGAGAATCAGAGTAATAAAGCCCAATCTTCATCAGTTTCTCCACCAGACAGGGCTGCACCTAGAGGAGCTACTTCCGATACTGGCGGAGGAGCAAACCGCCTTTATGTGATCACTAGTCGCCAAGAGTAAGAGAACTCTCCAGATGTTGTCACTGGTATGATCAAAGCTTTACTCTTGATGTTTATGCTTTGCTAGACCCAGGAGCAAGTTTATCTTTTGTAACCTCTTATGTTGCAAATATTTTTGATGTTCTTCCTCAGAGTTTCTGTGAACCCTTTTGTGTTTCAATACCTATTGGGAGTCCATTCTAGCTGAGTGAGTATATCGTGATTGTGTCATATCCATCAATCACAAGAACACCATGGATGATTTAATTGAGTTAGGCATGGTAGATTTTGATGTTATTCTAGGTATGGACTGGCTTCATGCTTGTTATGCCTCCATTGATTGTAGAACTCGAGTTGTTAGGTTCCAAATTCCTAATGTGCCAGTTATAGAGTAGAGTAGTAGTTCAGCAGTGCCTAAGGGTCGTTTCATTCGTACCTTAAGGCGAGAAAGTTAGTTTCCAAGGGGTGTGTCTATCACTTAGTCCAAGTTAATGACTCTAGTGTTGAGATACCTCCTACTCAGTCAGTTGCAGTAGTAAAAAAGTTTCCTGATGATCTTCCCGGAGTCCCTCCTGAGAGAGAAATAGATTTCGGCATAGACATTCTTCCAGATACTCGTCCTATATCTATTCCGCCATATAGAATGGCACTAGTAGAGTTGAAAGAAATAAAAAACAGTAGAAAGAATTGAGTGGGAGGTGCACGATAGCGTGACTTGCTAACGTGAACCACTGGCTGGAATGGCGAGAGGGAGGAAGAAGAAGGACACAATAAAGAAGGTGGTGACACCGGCAAGAATGGAGACAACAGATCTAGGAAATTTACAGGAAAAAGAGTTGACATAGGGGAGGGATTCAATGGAACAGTGGTCGTCTCTACAATCAAGGGGAGCAACACCAAACAGTAAGGAAGTCGACAAGCTTGAAGGTGATGTGGGGAGTGAAATTCCTGCTGAAATTAGTGGGAAACTACCAGGAGTGATACAAGGAAATGAGACAGGAGGTGATGCATAGAGGAAATTAGACATGAATATTGAACCAGCTAAGAAGTGGGTGAATTTTTTCAACTCTAATAGGATGTCAACTAAAGGAATGAGCCTGAGCTACATTAATCCAGTAATAAGGAATGGAGAACAGGTCATTGAATTGAAGAAAGAAGAAGTAGATAAAGCAACAGTAGAATGGAAGCAAGCTCTTATCCTTTATGTGGTAGGGGAATCACCAACAATTGCTGCAATTGAGAGGTATATTGCACTGCAGGTGAATACAGTTAGTAAACCTAAAGTGTATTACCATAATGATGGCTACTTCTTAGTTAGGTTTGCTTGCTTGGATGACAGGAATGAAGTGTTGTATTCTGGTCCTCATATGCTTAATAATAAACCCATTATAGTTAAAGATTGGAGTGCTGATTTTAACTTCAATAAGGAGGTGTTGCAGACGGTGCCAATTTGGGTGAAATACCCCAACCTACCGTTGAACTGCTGGAGTATGGATTCGCTAAGTAGAATTAGTAGTGGGCTAGGGGTTCCATTATATGCTGATGAATGCACTACTAAGGTTGAGAGGATTACTTTTGCAAGAGTGCTAGTTGAAATGGATGTAGCAAGGGAATTGCCAAAGAAACTCAAGGTGGAAGATCCAAATGGGAGAGTGTTTGAACAAGAGGTGAAGTATGAATGGATTCCAGCATATTGTCCTAAATATATGCAGGTAGGACACAAATGTACTACAAATGAGGGTACTCGTAAAGTAGCTCCTAAGTTGGTCAATAAATGGGTTGAGAAGCAAAATACTACTAATGGGACAACAGTCCCACAAGTAATAAATGAAGGAAAAGATAAAGGGAAGGAACAAGTAAGTGAGGAGGCAGCAACATGGCAACAAGTATCTCCAAGAATAATAGCTAGAGGAAGCTCAGATACACAGACAAATGCACTAGATATGAGGATGACAAATGGATTTGGAGCATTAGTTAGTATGGAACAGGGTTCAATAAGTGTAAAAGATGATAATGCTGGTGGAGGAGAAGGGTATGGAGGAAGGTTAATAGAAATGGTTACATGAAACTGGTCACATGGAACACAAGGGGAATAAATAAACTTCATAAACAAAAGGAACTCAAATTGTTTATGAAGGAGAATAATGTTGGAGTTATGGCAATTTTAGAACATAAAATAAAGGAACACTTAGCAGTAAAGATCACAAAAAAATAGCACAAGGATGGAAATGGGAAGCAAATTATGAATATACTGATAAGGGTAGAATATGGCTAATGTGGGATCCTCAGGTGATTGATTGTTTGATTCTGAGTAAATCAGACCAATATATACAAAGCAGGGTGGTAGTGCAAAGGAATAACATGGTGTTTTTTCTGGTGGTGGTTTATGGATTACATTTTATCCATGATAGAGTACAATTATGGGAAGATTTGAAGCAAAAGGTAGTCAATACACAAGAACCCATGATCTGTATGGGTGATTTCAATGCAGTGCTAACGGGTGCTGATAGAATCAATGGCAATCCAGTTCAGGAGATGGAAATTAAAGACTTTAATGAGTTTATGATTGATGCTGGTATGACAGAATTGAAGGCAATAGGAAGAGAGTATACCTGGTCAAATGGATGCATATGCAGTAAGATTGATAGAGCAATAGTGAATGCAGAATGGATGTTGAATATAAACCAAGTAGAGATTAATGTTATGCAACCAGGAACATCTGATCATTCTCCATTGTGTCTGGAGTTGGATAGTAATATGAGAGGTAATCATAAGGCTTTTAAAATTTTCAATTGTATTGCTGCTCATCCAGATTTGTTACCAAAGGTGAAGGAAGCATGGAGTGGTGGATATATAAGGGATCTAAAAGAAGTATGGTTTAAACTCAAGAAAGTGAAAGCAAATCTTAAACAACTTAACAACATAGAATTTATAGGAGTGAGGAATATTGTAAAGGACATTAGGGGAAAATTGCAACATATACAAGAGATAATGAGGGATCCATCTGCAGTAGCTCAATATAGACAACATGAAAAGGAACTACAAATCCAATTAGAGAAATAGAGCATGATTGAAGAGAGTGCAATGCAGCAGAAATCCAGAATTCAGTGGTTGAGGTTAGGTAATGCAAACACTGCTTACTTTTATGCACACATGAAGAATAGGGTGGCTCAAAACACAATCACAAGACTCATGACTTCAGATGGTACTATAGCCCAGACACATGAAGAAATTGAACTGGAAGTGAGTACATTCCATAAAAAGTTGCTTGGTAAGGCTGCCCAGATGTTGCATAGTGTGAATGCTCAAACTATGAAGAATGGTAAGACCCTTAATAGAGAACAACAATTATTACTAGCAGCTAGAGTGACAAGAGAGGAGGTGAAAATTGCACTCAAAAGTATACATGATATGAAGGCCCCGGGAATCGATGGTTTCAATGTTTTTTTCTTTAAGAAGGCTTGGACAGTGGTCGGAGAGAACATCATGAATGCAGTTTTGAAGTTTTTTGATACAGGATACATGTACCAGCCAATTAACTGTACAGTCGTGACCCTTATTCCCAAGATTCCCAATCCAACTAAAATTGGGGAGTATAGACCTATTTCATGTTGCACAATATTGTACAAGATCATTTCAAAAGTGATTACCATAAGGTTGCAGAAGGTGATGAGTTCTTTAGTTGATCCTAATCAATTAGCTTTTGTTTCGGGGAGAGCTATAAATGACAATATTCCTCTTAGCCATGGGCTAGTGAAAGGGTATAATAGAAAAGGTATTTCCAAGAGATGCATGATAAAAGTTGATATGAAGAAAGCCTATGAATCAATTGAATGAAGTTTTCTGGAGCAAATATTATATGAACTGAAGTTTCCAGCTAAAGTGATTAAGTGGATAATGCCACAGTATCCTATTCATTTCAGGTTAATGGAAGAATAACAAAACCATTTAAAGCTCAGAAAGGGGTTCGACAAGGGGACCCCATGTCCCCTTTTCTATTTGTATTGGCTATGGATTATCTCACCAGGAACTTAACAAGTCTACATACAAATCCTGAGTTCCATTACCATCGAAGGTGTAAGAAACAAAGAATTATTCAGTTGAGTTTTACAGATGATTTACTGATGTTCTGTAGGGGTGATATCAAGTCTGTTAGAAGCCTATATAAGTGCTTTATGGTTTTTTCCAATGCATCAGGGCTGGTGGCAAATGTGGACAAAAGTTGTGTTTATTTTGGAGGGATAAAGTATAATGTACAAGAGCAAATACTACAGGAACTCCAATTTGTGAAATGAGAGCTCCCATTCAGGTACTTGGGAGTCCCCTTGAGTACAAAGAGAGTGTCTATTGTTCAATGTAAACCCCTTATTGACAAAATGTTGAATAGAGTCACTTGTTGGACAAATAAATATGCTGGCAGAGCTCAATTGGTGAAGATTGTCTTGTTTTCTATACAAACTTTTTGGGCACAAATCTTTGCACTTCCTAAGAAGATCCTACATGCTATTGAGAGTCTATGTGGAAAGTTTTTGTGGACAGGTAGTGTGGAGGCATCAAAGAAAGCATTAATATCCTGGGAGAAGCTATGTTTGCCTAAAGCAAGTGGAGGTTTGAATTTCCTGGATGTGTTTATTTGGAAAAATGCAGCTATTGGGAAGTTACTATGGAATCTCTATAAGAAAAAGGATAAATTATGGGTGGAAAGGATACATAGTTACTATGGGCAAAGAGGAATTTGGGGCATTCAAGCAAATCAAGCTTCGTGGCTGGTACAAAGAATTCTTAAAGCTCATAAACATCTTCAAGCTGCTGGCTACAATGAGCATAGTTTACAGCAAATGGAACAGTACTCTATTAAGAAGGTTTATGAAAAGATGAGAGGAGATAGGGAGAAAGTGGAGTGGAGAAAGTTGATATGGTCCAACTATGGTGCACCAAAGTGGTTGTTCATACTGTATTTAGCTCTAAATAGGAGGTTGTCAACGAAAGATAGAATGGGAAAATAGGGAGTAACATCTAATTTGACATGTCCCTTATGTCAAGTGAAGGATGAGGATATCGATCACCTTTTTTTTGCATGCATGTTCACTGCTGGAATATGGAAGAAGCTGCTAGCTTGGCAAGGAATACAACGTACAAGAGGAAAGTGGCATGAAGAAGTACAATGGGTAACAACACATATGAAGAGCAACACTAGCAAAGCCAATGTGTATAGGATGGTTATGGCACGAACCATCTATCATGTGTGGATAGAGCGCAACAACAGAATCTTTCAGT